CTTGCCCTGCCCTCCCTTCAACCCCTCCATCCCTCCCTATTTACAAAGACTTTGTTTCCATTTTTTCATTTTCTTATATTAATTCCATTCCCTTCTTTCCTTCCCCTCCCCTCCCCCTTCGCCCCTTTTCTTCCTATTTCACATTATTATATGTTTTTATTATATCTATTAATATTAACTTTTATTAATTTATCCCAAAAGCACACACATGGTGCTCTGGATCAAGAAGAGATTTCCTAAGCACATCAACCCACCTTACCCCAGGTTTTTACCTCTTGATAAAGGTCAGGCCAAATGTTCTACCTAAATGGCTGGATTACTCCATAGGTGAAAACAAGGAAAAAGACTTTTCTCTGCTTATGATGGGGGATAATGAAGCCACCTCGACCTCTTGGAAGCGTCTCATTGAAAATCTCATGGGCCTAAATCCTCACTTCAATACTTTGATTTATAGATGATCTTATGTCCTCAGGCTATTCCTCCTTGAAATTGTAAATAGCCAGGAAACAACGCCCCAGTCAGAGCAGTAACCATTTGACTTTCTTTGTGATCTTTCTGGATGAGAGAATTTAGCTCCATTATTAGGGAAACAAAGAATTACAGATGTAATCTTTGTGGTAAGGGAAACATGTTTCTGGGACAGGTGAATCTTTTTTTCTAAGATTTTTCTATTTCTATATTAGACATACATTTTTCTCTTAGCAAGCTAGGTTTTTTTTTTTTTCAGGAGGAAACACTATAATCTAATTGTTCTTAAATGTGAACCCTGGGCTAACAAGATCAGCATCACTAGGATGTATTCAGAAGCGCAAAGTTGCAGGCATAGAGTCAGATTTACTCAATTATAAACTGGGAATGTGGAGGTGCTTCATGTACTCTGTTCGGGAGCCAGTACTGTGGGGCACGGATTCTTGAGCTAGTCTTGATACTGTATTTCTCTTCACTGTTTACAGCTGTCTGTGTGCTCCCCCCCCCACCTATTGCTCTTTACCAACTAACAAAGTCTATCTACTGCCATGCCAAAGCCTGCTCTCACTACAGTGGGTTTGATGGTAACCAGAAAGAGTCAATTTATACAAATGAAGCATTTTAATATAATAAAGAGATGACATATTCCCGTCTCTGAAAGGCTGTAAAAATTAGATGAAGAGCCAACTATTCTGGATGATTTAAATATGGATGAGTGGCAGGAGGCTGGCCTAAATGATTGTGAGCCGCTTCAGTTTCCTCAAGGCAAATAGTAGGGAGGCCAAATAATAAAACTTCCGGAAGAATAACTGAGCATAATCATGCTTATCTGATCCACCTTTTGGAGAGCAGACATTTAGAACATTTTATATTGCATATTGTAGCACCAGTACATTTAGGAAACAATAATGACTATTTTCACATGTTTCATAGAAGTTTTATGTTTTTAATTGGCCTGTATCCTGGTGTCATCTATCTCTCTTCATCCCCAAATTGTTTAAAGTGTTCCATGGTGTCTGCTACTTGCTTTCTGGTGCCTCCACAAGGGGACCATTAGAATTCCCTTTATCTGTAAACAGTGTATTCTGTACACAAAAATGGGTTCAATCTTATCAGCGAGAACTCTAGGGGCCTAAAAGAAACTACCCATTTGCTCAGGTAATCTGTCCTTCTGGAACATTGGTGAATGATGTCAGAGCATATGAAATTTGATTTCTAAAATCTCACAAGTGAACTCTTGAAATTCTTTTTTGGTTTTATGAATCTAGGCAAAGAGAACATCAGGGATTGCTTACAAACATTTCCAAAATTCTAGTTTTATTTCCATAAACATAAATCTGATTTGCTTGGCTTTCATGACAAAGATCAGAAGAATTAATCCATAACAGAGAAGAAACACATAGTAAGGAAAATATAATTACTAGCATGTTTTTTAGTGCTGTGGCATTGATGTTTGGCCGATATGCAAGTGTGATATAAGGAAAATGAGACAAAGACCTAAATTTAGATAATACAGTATGTTACGTTAAAGAGAGAATAATCCAGGTTAGTATGAATATTTGTGGCTTCAGAAATAGAGTGCTTGTGTATTTCCTATATCACTCATTTTCATAAAGCAGAATTGTTTTTATGGACTGTAGAATTATTCCTTGCAGTACTGTATTCCTTGTTGCTTCTAAGATTGGTTTGGAAGCAGTAGTCATTACTTCCCAAATTGCTAGTATTTATCTCGGATTCTGTGGCCGTTTTGTCATCTCTCTCAAGAGATGACCTAAATATGAATATCCAAATATAAATAAGGTACACAAATCTCTTTATCCTTTTCCCCAGGAGGCCTTACTCTTGAAAGGATTATTTTTTTAAACCTACTTTATAGGAAACTTCTGTATGATTCAATCAAATTGTCATTTTTCTTTCTGTTCATTTTCCAATTCTGAAACCTGTTTTCTTTTGATTTGAGACTGCTAAACACGCCAGGTTGTGGAGAAAATTTGATTCTTCAGTTTAAAGGAACTTTTTTGTAGGAACTAGCCTATGAGGTGAGCTTAGACCTGACCAAGGGTTGGTGAAGATGAAAAATAAAGAGACACAGAAATGAGTTAAAATCTGAGGGGCCAGGGGGCTCATATCTCTCTTCGACATAGAACCCCAAATGCCCGGCACACTCTGGTTTTATTCACTCAGACATGGGCACGAGCCATTAGAGTTCCACAGGATTCATCTGTCTCCCACCCTCCATGGTACTTCTCTGGGCGAACAACTTGACCTCAGGTGTTTTTACTTCTCCCTGCAGCAGGTTAGCATGCTTGCACGCGCTCTTTCTCAGTGCTCACCGAGGAGGCCAATTAGGCCTCATTCTTCCCATCTGATCTCCACACTTTTCAGTTTGGCTTGAGAAGCCTGTAGTACTAGAAAAGAATAAATGCCTGGACATCAAATTTTGAGTAGGGACAAGCTGTCCGGTCAGACCTCCTTCAAGATGGACAAGGTCAGTTACTATCTTGTTTAACAGGACCTTGCTGTTCTGACATATGCTTCTGGTAGCATGGCCCTGTGGCTAGTGTAAGGCAACAGGTATATCTCCAAGGGGAAGGCAGAATTGCTCTGGGTATGGCATGTGCTCTTGTCACTGATGTGATGTGATCTTTCCCTTATATACCCGGTTCTCGAGAGGATCTGTTCCAAGGGCTCCAGCCTTATTCCTTGAATATCTTTCTTTCCGACTGAGCCTGGAGTCTTTTCTCATTTGATGATGTCCTTATCCTCTGTCTGTCTGTCTCTGTTTGCCCCACTCCGTGAATCTGGCTGAGGACTCAGATGCAGGTGCCACCCTTACCTTTTTCTTCAGAGACAGAACACAGATCATCTTATTTTAATATCTTAACAAGTAACCATCAAGAGGCGTATAGGGAGGGAATAAAAAAGATCAGACTCTAAGAAGTCAGAAAGTATGTAAGACATCTGGCAGTGTTTTAGTTCTCCTAGGCCCTTTCCTAATACTCCCTTTCCTTAGTGTCCACCGTAAACACCAATTCCATAGTGGCAAAATTATGACACTATCTCATGTACCATGAACCCAGGAAATTAATCCCAGATCAGCAAAGGGATGAAAGATATTGACTACAGAATATATTTTTTTGAAAAAAGGCTCAGCAAAAGGATGGAGAGGACACAAATTTGATTATGAAATTGATTTCTAAAGATAAATGAAATCTCCATGTAATAGAATTTCTTAATACATAGCCTATGAAATTGAAAATAATTCTATTTCTTTACTAAAATGGAGTAGGCTGTAACCTTGCCTAGCAGATTAAAATAAAGGGCCAAGGTGGTGACTGGTGGTGACTTTGTAGTTTTCAGTGCCATCATAACTAAGCTTTACAAATACTGTATTCTAGGCTGTCCCCCAAATAAAAGGTTGAGCATCTTCCCGATGATTCCCTCTCTTTCTGACTTGTGTAATTTGTATATTTGTGTGCTGTAACTATTCTTCTTGTCCAGCTAGTGTGGTTTCAGTACCTTCTGGAAATAGATTTCCCTGTGGCTTCTTGGCACTGAGCAATATGTCCTAATCCTAACATTGTGCTCTTCCTTGGGAAGGAGACTATTAATGATGTAAAGTTAACTATAGCACAGTAAGCCATCCACATTTATGATTCTAAGTTTTTATTCTTGGCAGTAGAAATGTGCTTGGTGGTTAATTTTATACCATGCTACAACCCAAGAGTTTATGTCTGACAGCCTTACATAGAGAAAATGAGTATTTTTAAAGCAACCTAGTAACTCTTGGTGTGCATCAAATAATTTGGGCTAGGAATGGATAGTGAGTAAAGCCTATTGTATTCTGTAATTTTGTTGCAACTACCTGCTCCTGATATGAAAAGTGGATATTATACCTAGAACTAATTTATTTATTTATTTTCTTTCTTTCTTTCTTTCTTTCTTTCT